TTGGCCTCAGGTAAATCCTTTAACCCATCAGAGCAGAAGCATATCCAATCAGGTTAGAGTTCTCATCCTTGGCCATGAATTCTATTCCAGTATGAACTCAAGCCAAATTATTTTCATTTGGTCCATACCTTATGTTCCTCAGGATCTTGAGCACCACTGAGCCTGGCAAAAAAGTGACAACAAGATTAATGTTAATATCAACTGGGTGCAATGGCGCAAACTTGTAATCCCAGTGGTTTGGGAGGCTGAGGCAGGAGGTTCAAAAGTTCAAAGCCAGCCTCAGCAAAAGTGAGAATCACTAAGCAAGTCAGTGAGACCCTGTCTCTAAATACAAAATAGGGTTCGGGATGTGCCCCTGATTTCAATCCCAGGTGCAAAAATAATAATAATAATAATAATCCAGATATAGCTTTGTTGTTTAAAGAGTGTACTGTATTGTGGCTATCTACTAGCTTCCTTTGATGAATAGATAAAATACAAAGCTATGGTCTCCAAATTCCTGACAATTCCAAAGATTTTAAGATYCTTAAAATCTGGGAATCAATTTAACTTTAGCAGTTGCCATCTTTCTAACTTTATCTCTTTGTTACATTAGCATGCAATAGTATCAAGTTTAGAAAAGAAACATTACTTGGATACAGTATTCTCCTAAAAAACTGAAATAAACTTTTCACAGATTTAAAATTAAAAGAAGCATGAAACTTTTTTACCCTGAGGCTGAGAGCCTAGGGTTGAGAAGTTTCTAGGCCTGGGCACTTGCTCAGTTTCCAAATCCTTAAATAGACACTGGCTCAGGGCTGCTTCCTTGACATGCCAGGTCTCAGCCTGCATCAAACTGAACAGTTAACTCAGTTTGGTTCAACAGGAATCCTCAACACCTAAAACAATGGTAAAACAAAGAACTCCCATTGGAGGTTCCTGTGTCACTGGGCTATTTGACAGATAGGGGATTCAATCTGTTCGTGTGCTTTGGGTCAAGATTTGTGGCTGAACAAAAGGTGCCTAGAACACAGGTTACATCACTGCAGTTCTTTCCTCTTTCAAAAAGGGTAGTAAGAGTCTCTCAGAGCTGAGGAACACATGTCAAACACAAGACTTATTAGTCTTATAAGACTACTGCCATAATGTGCTATCTTGCCACATACCCCAAACAGCAGAGCCAATCTATCATGAACTAGTGATATGCTCAAGTTTGGGGCCCCCAAAAGACCACCAGAGACCAAGATCAATGTAAGCAGCAAAGAGGCATTTATTGTGAGCTAAATAAATAGTTCAATTATTTAGCACACACAGCAACTGGTGACGCTGAAAGGCCCCAAGCCCAGGGTTTGCAGCAGTTTTATACACTCTTTGGGGAAGGCAGGTACTTCACATACATCATAGCATCTCTTAGCAAATCATCACACACCGTGGGAAAATCAAACAACAACTCTAAAACATGGTTAGCGTATCAAGTGGAGGGAAAGAATCTGGAAAGGATTATTGGTTAGTTCAAGGGGTTGACACACTTAAAAATGATTGTTTTAAACCRTGACAGTGTCGCAAGGGGGGTACGTGCCAAGCTGCAGGGCTTCTGGTTTAGATATTGGTCACTGCACCTAGGTGGGGGCCATCTGGAATTTCAGATATTTCAACATCTGGCCTATCTTAGGCAATCACCATCTGTGGCTTCTGAGAACTGTTTGTGCAGAGCTTTCTGTGGTATTTCCTGACTTTAGGACTGCAGTAGGTCAGGGGTTAAGTCTCAGAGCAAAATGAGGCCCCAAGTAAAATGAGGTTGCTTAGGTCTTTCATTCCCATATTTCTTTTTGGGTACCTTGGAAGCCAATCATGGATTCCTCTGAGTAAGCTCATAGGGTTCGACCCTACTACTTTTGTCCAGGGACTGGTACTGGGCTCGTAACACCATTAACTGGACTGTATTGACTCGTTCCTTTACAAAGGCTGCAAACTTATTTATAATACAGGATCCTACTATTAAGGCAAGCATAATTACAAGTAAGGGTCCAACCAAAGCTGAAAKTAAAGTTGTGAGCCAGGGGGAATAATCAAACCATGATTCAAACCATCCCTTCTGTCGCTCTCTCTCTTTCCTCCGCTTCTCCAATCCTTCCTGTACTTTGGCTATTGATTGTCTGATTACCCCAGAATGGTTAACGTAAAAACAACATTCTTCTCCTAGTGCTGCACAAAGTCCTCCTTGTTGTAAAAAGACTAAATCTAAGCCCCTTCGATTTTGAAGCACAATTTCTGCAAGGGATGCATGTAATTCCTCCAAATGTTTTACCTGTCTCTGTAGTTCTTGGATGTCCTCATCTATGGCTTCCCTCAGACTAGAAAAATAGGAGCGCTGTTCAATCAGGGCCATTGTTCCAGTCCCCACTCCTACTGCTCCTAACAGGGCTCCTATGGTTAATATGGCTACAGCTACTTCTCCCTTTACCTTCCTTTGTAATTCCTTATTTTCTAACCTGAATATCACTTCTTCTTCAGAGTGGTAAATTAATCTGGGTACAAGTTGAACCATAACACAAAATCCGTGGGTATGGTTGAGCATGGCTGTGTGAGCACAGGGGGTAAGGCCTGTGTCACATGCCCACCAACTGTTTTCTGATGGTAATAGATAAGTCATTTGGGTAGGTATAGGGGAAGTCTGATTGCATAAATGCTGCAGAGAGGGTGGTGGGTTTCCCACACAGCTGCCTTTTCCAATAACCTTCTCCAAGGTAAGTCCAGATTCCACGGGTTCCCATCGGCAGTCCTGTACCTTGCTAGTCAGTGTATAACTTCCTGGGAGAGCTATCCCCTCATAAAAGGGGAGTTGCATATCATAACACATCCAACAGGACTCTGTCACCTGGGGTTGGGTTTTGTTTACAACATCATAAGTTTTTAGCAGTAGTTTCCACAAGGGAGCTCCCAAGGCGTTCTCCTCTGAAATGCCGGGAACAAGTAGGTTGGGCAGTTCAGGTGGAGAGTTTAGGTCCCTTTCCTCAGGGATCCTCTGGATAGTCTTAGGTACTTGGGTACTTTCAGGCATAATGGGGGTGGTAGCTGATGGTGGTGGGGCCAGGGCTTTGTTAGGTCCCACCACAGCGGGTACAATTTGGGTCTTTAAAACCTTGAGAGTAAAAATGAGTCCTTCATCACTGCTTCCTATCCAGTAAAGTCTTATTCCCCAAGACTTTCCTTGTTCCCATCCTTGTGCCTCTTTTCCCTTTGGGGTGAATCTGGCTTGTATCCAGGAGTTCTGATTATGTGGTCTGGAGTATTTTACTAAGTCATCTTTGGCAACCTTCCAGGCTCTAGACCCTCCCACACTAGTCTCACATCCCCATTGCTTGCAATAATAATCTGCAGAACTCCCGCATTCTGGGGGGCGGGACTCTCCGGGGCATATGTACCAGGTATCCATTTTACAGGGAGGACCGTTTAAGCCATCAGAGCTCAGGTACCTCTTTCTCATATAATGGATGGGTGTGTCAGAACCTTTTTGTTTTGTTTGTTTCCACGACCCCTCAGCCAACTGGCAAAGATCGAACTGTAAGTCCGGGAACCATATCTGGGGTCCTTCCTGAGTTGCCAAGACTATGTTATGTCCAATTGCTGGATTCTGGATTACCCAGGTCCACTTATATGGAAAATGGGGGTTATTACAAAGAATGGTACTAATGCAAGCAAGAATAAGCAGCCAGACTAATAATAGCATCCTAACTAGGGTCTAAACAATGAAGAAAATTGTCCTTATGACGAGTAACTTGCCACTTGGAATTCGAATCCGGAATGAAGTCGCTCCTCACAGAGAACAAGCCCGCTGGCTTTGCATGAGAGTAGTGGATCCAGATGGCAATCCCGTTGACCTTGAGAGCGGTGGGCGTTGTGAGGATCACCACRTATGGTCCCTTCCAGTGAGGTTGCAGTGATTCCTGTTGATGTCTCTTTATGTAGACCCAGTCTCCGGAACGGAAGCTGTGTGGCTGAGGAGGGGGTCTTGTTTCATACAGAGCTTTGAGGTGGGACCACTCGTCCTGGTGGGCTTGTTGCTGGGCTTTTAGGGAATGTAAGAGGTCAGAGTCATCAAATTCTACAAGCAGGTGCTCAGACAAGCAGGGGATTATGGGAGGGGGTATGCCAAACATAATTTCAAAGGGAGTGGCTCCTAACTTATAAGGGGAATTCCATACCCTATACAGGGCATAGGGAAGGAGGGCTACCCAGTCTCCGCCAGTCTCCATGGTCAATTTGGTTAGGGTCTCTTTTAGGATTCTATTCATTCTCTCTACTTGTCCTGAACTTTGGGGTCTGTAAGCACAATGCAATTTCCAATCTGCCCCAAGAATAGACACGAGTCCCTGACTTACCTTAGACATAAAGGCCGGTCCATTATCCGACCCTACCAAGACTGGGAAGCCGTACTTGGGTAAGATGTCTTCCAGCAACTACTACTTGAGCTGTCTCGCGCTTAGTTGGAAATCCTTCTACCATCCTGAAAAAGTATCTATAAAAACTAAAAGGTACTTACATCCATATTTGCCAGGTTTTACCTCAGTGAAGTCTACTTCCCAATAGGCTCCTGTTCTGTCTCCTCTTACCCGATTCCCAGGGTTGATTGTGCTGTGGCCCGCATTCCTCAGCTGGCAGGCCTTACAGGTAGCAGCAATCTGCTGGATCTTGGAATTTGCATTTTAAATCTTTATCTTAGCATGGCTTAGTAGGTCCTGCATTTTTCTCTCACCCATGTGGGTGGAGCGATGCATTTTTTGCAAAATTCTGTTGCCTAACTTTTCAGATACTATCACATGACATTGGGAGTCTTGCCACCATCCATTAAGGCACTGAGTCATAGGCAGTCCTTTAATCCACTCTAAGTCCTCTTTGAAATATTGTGGCATTTCTGGTAGGCTTCGGGGTCCTGGGTCAGGCAGGTTGGCTATCATCACAATCTCTCTTTGCGTGGCTATTTCCCAAGCAGTTTTATCTGCCAGATTGTCCCCTCTGGATACCATGTCCTTAGGTTTCTGATGTCCTGGACAGTAGACAATGGCCAATTTCTTAGGCAACCATAGGATTGTAATAAGGGCCAATATCTCTTCTTTTTTTTATAATCTTTCCCTCAGCTGTCAGTAGCTCTCTTTTCTTATAGATGGTGCCATGTATGTGGGCCGTGGCAAAAGCATACCGGCTATCGGTGTACACAGTCAGCTTTTTGTCTTTTCCTAGCGTTAGTGCTTGGGTCAAGGCTATCAGTTCAGCTTTCTGGGCTGATGTTCCTGTCGGGAGAGGCTCAGCCCATACCACTTCAGTCTCTGTTACCACCATGTGCCCACATACCTCTGACCTTGTTGAATGAAGCTGCTCCCATYCGTGAACAGGATCTGCATCCAAGCTCTGCATCCGGCAATGGCTGGTCCTGGAGGTCTTCTCTGATGCTGGGGACCTGTGCTAGGATCTGTGCACAGTCATGCAAGGGAGCCTCCAAGTCGGGGTCGGGTAGCAGGGTTGTGGGGTTGAGAGCTGAGGATGCCTAAAAGGTAATTCTGAGAAGGTTAAGTAACAGCCCTTGATAATGGGTGAGCCGGGTGTTTCTTAGCCACCGGTCTGGGGGTTGCTTTAGGATTCCTTCGATGGCATGGGGGTGGTGGTGGTGATATATAGCTCTTGTCCTAAGGTTAGTTTGTTGGCATCCTTTATCATTAGGGCAGTGGCAGCTATCATCCTCAAGCAAGGTGGCCAGCTGGCCACCACAGGGTCCAGCCTTTTTGACAAGTAGGCCACTGGCCTCTTCCAGGGACCCAGATACTGGGTCAAGACCCCTTTAGCAACCCCCTTGCGCTCATCAATGTACAGATAGAATGGTTTCGTGACATCAGGTAGCCCTAGAGCTGGTGCGGATAGCAATGCAGTCTTAATTTGATTGAAGGCTCTGCCCATCTCCTCAGTCCACTGGAAGGGCTGAGTTGCATTCGTGCCTTCGCACAGAGGCCTGGGTAATTCAGCAAACCCAAGTATCCACAGCCTGCAAAAGCCAGCAGATCCCAGAAACTCCCTCACTTGCCTTGGGGTCTGGGGTACAGGGATTTTTAAAACTGTCTCTTTCCTGGCCTGTGTTAGCCAGCATTGCCTATCTTTTAACAGATACCCTAGGTATGTCACTTCAGGCTTGCAGATTTTTGAGCTTTCTTGGTTGGCTGAGGCTCAGTAACCTAGGTCCCCCAGATCTGCAACAGGTATCCGGTCCCTTTTAGGCACCCTTCGCTGGTCTGGGCTGCAATCGACAAATCATCTACATACTGTAAGAGAGTTGGCTCAGGGTGCTTCTCCCAGAACTCACCTAGGTCCTCATGGAGTGCTTTATCGAGGATAGTAGGAGAATTCTTGAAGCCATGTGGGAGTCTGGTCCATGTTAGCTGTCCATTGATTGATTGCTGAATATGGGGGGTTATTCCTGCTCAAGCTTCCACCGACATTGGGTATTGACAAACCCTAGCCAGGTCCGCTCCAGGTTTTAGTTCCACAAACACTGCTGGCCGGTGTTTGGCCAGACCCATACCTCCTGTCTCCGCCCATGCTTCCAGGTACTCCTTTAGCCAACAGTCTATTTCCTGATTGCCGGGCATGGGTTGTTGATACAGTCTATATCCATCCTCTAAGGTCACAGTCAGTACCTGAATAGGCTGTCCCTGACCATCAGAGATTGTAGTGCCTCCAGGTTGAAAGTGAACTTGAGCTCCAATTTTGGTAAGTCTCTTCCCAACAGGGGGTAGGGGCAGTCAGGGAAAACCCGGCCCACACCTAGGTCCACTGTTCTTTGGGTAGTCCATGAACATTTGTTAATCCCTGTAGCCCCCTGTACCCAAGAAGTCTTTTTAGATAATTTTCCTTGCAGCTCTGTCAATACGGAGTGTTGAACTCCAGTGTCCATTAGGGACTCAATTGGAGTCCCCTCCACCTTAAAAGTCACCCTAGATTTGGGGAGGGGAGCCGAACCTCGACGCCCCTAATCTTCCTCTGTGTTAGTCACCAATACTGGCGTGCATCTAGGGGGATGGGGCCCTAGCCCCATTTCCTTTTTCTTAGGGCATTCCCTTGCCCAATGACCTGTCTCCTTGCAGTAAGCACATTGGTCTTTACACGGTTGGTGGCAGGCCGATAGGTTAGCACTGCTCTTGCTCTTGGTCTCTGCCCCAGTTCCCCGAGCTTTGCCTCCTTTCCCTTCCTTGTACTGCTGCTACCAACACCCTTGTCATTTCTCTGGTGGCCTTTACTTGCCTGTCCTCAGGTGCATACCTATTATTATGGACTCTCTGTGCTGTTGCTAAGAGATCCTAAACACTCTTACCCTCTAAATTCTCTAGCTTTTGTAGTTTTCCATTTAATATCTGGAGCTGCCTAATTAACAAGCCATTACTACTGCTGCCTGATTCTCTGGAGCCTCTGGATCCATTGGGGTAAATTGTCTAAAGGCTTCCATTAACCTTTCTAGGTAGCTAGCAGGCGACTCCTGTTTCCCTTGTATAACTGTATAAACTTTAGCCAAATTAGTTGGTGTTCAGGCCGCAGCCTGGAGACCCGCCATTAGAGTCTGGCGATAGACCCGGAGCCTCCCCCTACCTTCTGCCGTGTTGTGGTCCCACTTGGCTGCAGGCGGCCTACTCAAGGGAAAAGTAGCATTAATCAAGTCAGGRTTGGCGTCATCTCCAGGGACCAGTTTCCCGGCCTCTGTCTGAAGTCTGGATTCTTTCCCTTTYTTCCGTGGTGAAGAGGATGCTGAGCAGTTGTTGGCAATCATCCCAGGTAGGCTGGTGAGTAAACAGAACACTATCCAGGAGAGAAACTAAACTCTTTGGGTTGTCAGAGTAAGAGGGGTTTTGATTCTTCCAATTGTGTAAATCACTAGTGGAGAAGGGCCAGTACTGAAGTCTAGGGTTCCCTGTCTCTTCAGGGGGCCCTAACTCCCTGAGGGGTAAGACCAGGGTGGTGTCAGGAGATTGGGCAGGGGACAGGGCGCGTTGGGCTCACCCTTGGGTTTCCCCTGCTGGTCCTTCCAGTGCTCCTTCTGCTCTTTCTGCTCCTCCCCCTGCACCCCCCTCATCCAGCTGGTTGGGGGGCACATAGGGAGGGGGCGCGGATTCCGAGGAGGACTGGATGGGGGGGGTAGGGGTGGGGGTGGACAGTCGGGTAGGTTCCAGGGTTCCTGGCCCAGAATCGACCTCTTTTGCCAGAAAAATGTTGGCCTCATGTGCCACATGTAAAAAAGGGGTTAGCCAATTAGGGGGGGTCCTTGAGTAAGTCCAGCCACACTAAGATATAAGGGATCCAATCTGGATGTCCCTCTCTTCTCAGGCAAAAAATCAGTTCTTTACTTGGAGGACTTTTGTCAAAGGTCCCCTCCCATGGCTACCCTACACCAAAGGTGGGCCACTCGGAGGAACAGAAAGCAACTAGTTTTCTTTTCTTTATCTCTACTCCCAAATTATGTCCTCTTTCCTTAACGTCTGTAAAATGGTCAGTCAGTACAGTCAAAGGAGTAGTCTGAGTTTGTCCCATGTCTAGGTGAAAAGAGAAAACAGCTACAACTATTCCACAAATCAAGGCTGTAACATAAAGAGACAGCAAATGCTTTGCGTAAACCATGAGCACCCTGAGGCCATTTCAAAGAGGATTTCAGAAGGCAGAGTAGGTCTTTCGCCACAGGACTCCCTGGAGGCTTATGACCTGCAAGAATTCTGTGGGGGATTAGTTCCCTTGCCAGGGTGTGGGGGTGGAGGCAGACAGGACTATAAAAACAAACACAGATAACACAGAATATGCAGTGGAGCCTGGAAGGCTAAACTGAAACTAAATGCGGAGATGGACAAAGGATCCCTCCTCTACAAAATACAGAGCCTTTAGTAAAGTGCAATCCACTCAGAACCCAGAAGGGGCTGGAGACGTCTCCCACAAACCCCCGTCGGTGGCCCTATAGTGTGTCCACCAGGACCTTTTGTTGACCAGAAAATACAGAACCAGAACCTGCTGGCAACTAAAGTACAGAAAATTACAGATGGGCAATGCCTTAACTTACCAACCGGGTTTTCATCACCTCTTGATCGAGGTATCTGGGTAGGCTTATAAGGGAGCTCCCAATGATATGCTGGAGTTCGGGACCCCCAAAGGCCACCAGAGACCAAGATCTATGTAAGCAGCAAAGAGGCGTTTATTGCGAGCTAGCTGGGTCCTCTCCACACACAGCAACTGGTGAGCCCTCAGAAGGAGTTTGCAACAGTTTTTATACACTCTTTGGGGAAGGCAGGGACTTTACATACATCATAGCATCTCTTAGCAAATCATCACACATGGGGGAAAAATCAAACAACTCCTTTAAAACATGATTAGCATTTCAAGTGGCGGGAAAGAATCTGGAAAGGATTATTGGTTAGTTCAAGGGGTTGACGCACTTAAAAATGATTGGTTTAAACCGTGAGGGTGCTGCAAGGGGGCACAAAGGACAGTCTGGTGGTTTAATAGTCATGTTGGCATTTGTATATTGCTGCTTTAGCTGTTTAAACATTCAGGGCACACACTGTGCCAAGGAGGGAAAGTTGATCCTACAGAACTGATACATGACAGCAGCTCCTCAGCCCATCCTCTTTGCTGATGGCAAGACCAGGCAAAGGACAGGCAGCTGATTATCAAAGAGAAGGAAATGGGTAGGTAGCACTCCCCATCCCTGGTTGCTAACAACTTCCAGGGGAGGGGAAAGATCACATTTTCCAACCCAAGAAGTCAACCCCTAGATGGCTCTCTTTCTGCCCTTTAGGTCAAATAGGCAAGATAAGAGGAAGAGGGGACACAAGAAAGGAAATCTAAAATCTATAAAAAGGCCAACACAATCCACTCCCTCAGGAGTCTCTGTTCTATCCTTTAAATAAAACCTATTGCCTTGGCATTTCTCAAGTGTTCAATCTATAACACTGGGGGAATGAGCCCCACTCTAATATTCAAGACTGGTTTCAATTCTAACTCTTTTAGGTATAGGGACATGGATGTGGTGGAGGTGGGGGGTACAGCAAAGAATGCATCAAACCTGGAACCCCAATGGGTTCTGGAAGACATACAAGATGACACAACTGAGCTCCATACCCTTAATCACCAGGGAAGGGCTCAACAGGCTCAGGGGGTAGAAGTTGGACCGATAGGGAAGAACAATGACTCAACTAAAGTTTTAACCCATCTTTCTTTCTAGAACCCATTTTTCTTTTTAGGGAAAAAGACTGATTTTTTTCCAAACTGCATTTTTTTTTTCCTTTTTGGTAGTACTGGGAATGAACCCTGGGGCACTCTACCCCTGAGTTACACTCCCCAGCCCTTTATGTTTTGAAATAGTCTCACTAAATTACCCAGGCTAGCTTTGAACCTGTGATCCTCCTTCTTCAGCCCCAACTCCCCAACCCCCCACTCCTGGGTCTCTGGGATTACAGGTATGTGCTACACCTGGCTTCAGCCAGCCTTTCAGAGGAGCACACCAAGCAGTTCACAAACCTTCACATTCCAGAAAAATTCCTTGGAGTGAAAACAAGGTCAATATAGGAGGAATCAGGATTCAAGGAACCCAAAGTAGAATTAACAGCATTGGGGCACATGGTAAGAATCTTCACACCCCATTTTCTGCTACCTTGTTGTGACTATATGGATTTTCAAATTGGTGAAAGTGCCCTGGCATAGTTGAGATTCAAAGTGCAGCTGTTGAGCAGGTGGAGTAGTATATGCTGCTGCCTCAATCATCCATAAAAGTAAAGTTCATATCTTGGATGGGTGTGTCAATATCTTACTTTTCTCTGATATTTATCATGTGTATGAGTCACTTATACCCTAAAAATGATCTTCATGCATTTTTGTTGCTCTTAATGTCTCAATAAAATCATGTTAAATGGTGATCCCAAACCACTCTCCTATAGATTGCTTTGGAAATGTTATTAAGAAAACAGAAAGGATGTTTTAAAAGTCATGYTTATTTTAGTATGAATTTATATTCAGTAAAATTCATCCTGTTAAGTGTGATATTTGACAAACACATAATCATGCAATCACCACCATAATCAAGATGTTGAACAAGATGTAAAAATCACTTTGAAAATACCCTCCTAACCCTTTGCAATCAACCCCTTCCTGTTCTTGGAATCAATTGATCCATTTTCTGTCAAGAGGGTCAGATCTAATCACCAAAATGATCGACTGTGAAAAAAAGATGGAAGCATACAAAACACACAAGCCAAGTTTTTGAAAGTATTTTAAACTTTTCTTTAGTAAACCAACAATGAGGACARTTTCAAATTTTGCTATGATATACAGATATTTTGCTCAGGTAAGAAGTAATCTTAGAATTTAATTCTAGTCCTACCATATTTATGCCTCTACTAATTGAGTATAACTTAAAAGCACATGATTATCTGGAATAGTAAGAATAATTTTATAATGACTTTTATAAATTAAAGCAGTCAACAATTTCTTAAGATAGTTGTAAAATAGCTAGTTAATTTAGAATTATTCTAACTGATCTTTTTTTCTTTTTTGGTACCATGGGTTGAACCCAGGAGTGCTTAACCACTGAGCCTCAACCCTAGCCCTTTTTAAATATTTATTTAGAGACAGGGCCTTACTAAGTTGCTGAGGCTGGCTTTGAACTTGTGATTCTCCTGCCTCAGCCTCCTGAGCTACTGGGATTACAGGTGTGTACCACCCCTCCTAGCTCTGATCTTAATGAATCAGCCTTGGTCATCTTTGTAGAGTATATGAACCAACAATAAAGACAATCTTTAATGTTAATTCTGTGTCAAGTTTCAAACTAGCCTTATTAATAGAAAATCTAAATGTGGAACTAAGTTCTACAGAAATTCTCTAAGAGTCCAACTCAGCTACAGGGCAGAGGTAYAATTCCCAGATATGCTCATATATGTAATTAGGACTGTCTCAAAATTCACCTCTGTGACCACCAAGAAAGGGACAAAGACATCAAAATCTCTATTCCATACAGCCATATACCTTATTACTTGAACAGCTTTAATGATTCTTTCATGCATCAGACCTGTAAAAGAAATACAGTAGATTATTAGGTCAGCAATTACTAATCAATAAAGTAATATAGTAGTAACTAAACTATGTTCTTTTGTGTGTGTGGTGCTTGGGATCAAACCCATGGCCTTGCAAAGCAAGCACTCTACCAATTGAGCTAAATCCCCAGAGCCCTTAAGACTATGTTTACAAAAACTGCAGAAGTAAGAAACAGAATCCCCAATGTACCCATTGTTGACACAAACATTTTAGTGTACATACACACACACACACACACACAAAAAAAAAAAAACACAGAATTTTTAACTCAAAAAATTGTAACTCTCTTGGCTTGATGAAGCATTAATCCATTTACTAAAGGCTTTTGTCCTCTTCTGTGTAAAGCAGAATTTTAAAAGGAATGGTGTGACTGCATTTACTAAATTCCTGCATACCAAATTGGCCTCAGGTAAATCCTTTAACCCATCAGAGCAGAAGCATATCCAATCAGGTTAGAGTTCTCATCCTTGGCCATGAATTCTATTCCAGTATGAACTCAAGCCAAATTGTTTCCATTTGGTCCATACCTTAAGTTCTTCAGGATCTTGAGCACCACTGAGCCTGGCAAAAAAGTAACAACAAGGTTAATATTAAGAATATCTGACTGAGTATGATGGCGCATACCTGTAATCCCAGTGGTTTGGGAGGCTGAGGCAGGAGGATGAGAGTTCAAAGCCAGCCTCAGCAAAAGTGAAAAACACTAAACAAGTCAGTGAGATTCTGTCTCTAAATAAAATACAAAATAGGACTGGGGATGTGGCTCAGTGGTCAAGTGCTACTGAGTTCAATCCCAGGTGCAATAATAATAATAATAATGATAATCCAGCTTTGTTGTTTAAAGAGTGGCCTATATTGTGGCTATCTACTAGCTGTCTTTGATGACTAGATAAAATACAAAGCTATGGTCTCCAAATTCCTGACAATTCCAAAGACTTTAAGTTCCRTATACTCTGGGAATCAATTTCACTTTAGCAGTTGCCTTCTTTTCAACTTTATCTCTTTGTTACATTAGCACACAATAGTATCAGTTAAGAAAACAAATACTACTTGGATACAGTATTCTCCTAAAAAACTGAAACAAACTTTTCACAACAGATTTAAAATAAAAAGAAGCATGAAACTTGTTTACCCTGAGGCTGAGAACCCAGGGTTGAGAAGTTTCTAGGCCTGGGCACTTGCTCAATTTCTAAAATCCTTAAATAGACACTGGCTCAGGGCTGCTTCCTTGACATGCCAGGCTCTCAGCCTGCATCAAACTGAATGTTAACCTAGTTTGGTTCAACAGGAATCCTCAACACCTAAATCTATGGTAAAACAAAGAATACCCATTGGAGGTTCCTGTGTCACTGGGCTATTTGACAGTTAGAGGATTCAATCTGTTCGTTGCTTGGGTCTAGATTTGTGGCTGAACAAAAGGTGCCTAGAACACAGGTTACATCACTGCCCTTGTTTCCTCTTTCAAACCAGTAAAATTGATGTCCCATTCAGCTTCCTCGTACTGAAAAGGTAGTAAGAGTCTCTCAGAGCTGAGGAACACATGTCAAACACAAGACTTATCTTATAAGACTTATTATAATGCCATAATGTGCTATCTTGCCATATACTCCAAACTACAGATCCAATCTATCATAACTAGAACCTCCAAAACTGAGCCAAAATAATTCCACTCTCTTTATAAATTAGTGGGTGTGTGTGTAATACTAATGAAAAGCTGACTAAAATGCAAAGCGATTATTCTAATTTTGCACCAGGCATACATGAGAGTGTCAGTTACTCTATATATATTTTTTTCATTACTTAGTGTTGTCAGTAGATTATTTTTAGCAGTATACACAAGTAGTTTCTCATTATTTAAAATATCCTCTGGAAAGATTTACAAAATACTGTTGATATTCCTTGAATTGCACTCATTAAATAAACACAATTAATTGAATATTAATACCTCAATAAAGATGTCATATGCATTGAAAAACAAAAACAAACAAAAGACTACTAAGTGGTTCCTATGACAGACACAATGAGTCTTTCATTCACTTGTCTAAATTTAGATCTTTATAGTTTTTGACAAATTCAGAAAATATCCTTTTGTACAGCAGTTTAGCGCCCTAGAGTGCATTACATTTAGAATTGTCAGGATGCTTAAAACACACACACACACACACACAAGCCCCAAGGCTTGGAAATTCTTCCTTCAGACAAACTTTCTCAAGGGCAGCTTTTCATGCTTCTTACATCTTGGGGACAGAAGTTAGGTGTCTAACCCCTTGTCCAAGCACATCCCCTCTCCACCCTCCGTAGGACCAAGCAAGACAGACCTGGTCCCCAGCACATTTTGCAAGGGACCCTGTGCAGCGCACCAGCCTCTCCAGGTGGATCTAGGGGAGAAAATTGTGGGATCCCTCAGGAAACCTCCCAGCTCTCTACTTGACTCACTGCAGTCATCGGCTACCGGAAGATTCACTCAAACCTTTTTAAAAATACAAACAACTCCGCAAAGTGGCAACTGGAAAGCATTTGTGGCGGGAAAGTGGCAATGTGGGCGAAATTACCTCTGCTTGTTGCTAGCACTGGAATTATACTGTTCTGCTCGGAAACTTAAAGCGCTTCAGACCTCAGATCTCATTGATTTTCTAAGTAGGCTATGTCGCGGTCCCCAACTACCAGGCAGGCGGGAGCCCCAGGGGCGCTTAAGAACCCGGAGGGGGTCCCTGGATCTGCTCCTCGGTCTGGATTAAGTCCAATTTTTGGACTTCTGCACCTACAGGGGCCCCGCCCTTGGCGCCGAGCTGAGGCCGAACCCCTGTCCTGGGCTCAGGAAAGGGCCACCCGCCGGCGAGACCCTCAGCCACGTGGCGGGCTCCCACGCTTGGCGGGTCGGTACACACTTACCGAGCAACGTGCTGCGACCGAAAAGAGAGGGCGCCTGGGAGATCAACTTTAAAAGGGCCCTGGGCCGTTCGCATCCGCGCAGCAGCCAACCAAAAAGTTGCCAAAGCGCCCCTCCCGCCCTGGGACCCGCCTGGCCAGCGGGGCCCGAGGCCCTCGTGCGCCCCCTGCCGGCCACCGGGAGTGGAAACCCAAGTGGCCGGGAAGCGGCTCGGCCTCGTCCAGGTCTCCTGGGTCCCATCTCCAGGTCTCTCCGCCCAGGACCCCCGAGTCTGCAGAGTCTGCGAGTTCGGGGACATTTGCCCCCGACACTTCACTGGCTGGGACGTCCCCTTACCTCGTTGAAAGTTAGAGGAAGCTCTGGCACTCAATGTTGGTATCTCTGCCTACTCCTCCCCTCGTTCTTAAAGTCTTCAGCCACACCCCATTTGGGCTTAAGACTCTTGCCTAATCCTGTAACAGAAGTTTGGCTTCCGTTAGAGGAACTATGAAATCAGGTGGGGGCAGGGTCTCTCTAGGCGAGGAGTGGGGCAAGTGAAGACTCCAAGTGCCTAGAAAACTCACAAACGGCTTATAATGATGACCAAGGTCTAACTATCTTGCCCCCACAGCACCTCTGTCTGTCCGGATTGGAGGAGCAGCCGTGTGTGTTTTGAATGCAGAAAATTAAACAGTTCCATTGTCTGGCTGCCTAGGTAACAGAATATGAGCGTCGTGGACTGAATTTTGTGCCTCCTCTCCAAAAAATATGTTGGAGTCCTAACCTCCAGCACCCGTGAGTTTGGAAATGTGAGTGTGATCTTATTTGGAAATGTCTTTGCAGATGCAATCAAGTCAAGATGAGGTCATTGGGGTGGACTCTTCTAATGCAACAGGGCTGGGTCCTTATAACAAGAGAAAAATGCACGTGAAGACAAACATACAGGGGAATATGTGAGGACAGARGCAAAGATCTGAGTGATGCTGCAGCAGACCAAGGAATGCCTCAGTATTGTCAGCCACCACTGGAAACTGGGAAGAGACAAGGAAGGATTCTCCCCAACAGATTTCAGAGGGAGCAGGCTCTGGGCTGACACCTTGCTTTTGGACTTAGAGCCACACAAATGAAGGTAACATATTTCTGTGCTTTCAAGTCACCAGGTACTTTTTTAAGACAGCCTAGGAAAACAACACAATGACTGGGAGTGGGAGGTATGGGGTATAAGAAAGGAGCCAGCTGTGTCTTCCAGGAGTTAAGATTGACATCTCCTATAAGCCCTGTTCAGGGGAACTTGTTTCCCATGTTTACCATGGAAGACATTGCTGGCACTTAATAAGCTCTCCATAGATAACTGCTAAATTAGTGATTGTCTTCATGCCTTGCAATGCAGCAGGCAGTGGGAATATAAAGGTGAACACATATAGTCATGCTTTCCCCTGTATGTAGGGACTCTTTCTCTGGACATTTGTAAACCTGAGAGGGATGAATCTGCACAATCAAAGCTTCATGCCCACGTCACCCAAAAGGCTTACCTTTTATGCCAAAGCAGAAATTCACTGGAAGGAAAGCCAAGTGGAGAGGTTAGGAGTGGGAGGCAGGAGGTCAATGATAGCAGTCCTAGAAACCAAGTGTCCATCTCCTTCTTCAGAGTGGTCTGCAAGCCACCAAGGCACCACTGGACAGCATTCCTAACACCAACTACTCTTACATGTTCTTTTACCCTTACTCTGTCCCTGGAATTTTGAGATTTGAGGTTTTCTAAGGACTGCAGAACTTAAGATCATTTTGGGCAGAAGGATTGCCCAGGGCAATGAATATTTGAATGCCTTTTATGTGCCAGGTACTGTGGTTGGTGTTGGTACTGTAAAGTTTGGTGAGAAATTTCCCCTGCCCTGAAGTGAGGATTTACATGTTAGTAAAAGCTTGAGCACCGTGCCAAGGGAACAGGATCAGCCACTGAGCCCAGCCTGCAAAGGATGGGGGGAGGATTCCTGAAAGAGAGGGTTCCTAAGCTGAGTCTAGCATTTCATGCAGAAAGCTAGGAGTATATCACACTTAGGAGAACAAAGAATCAAAGCAGCCAAAAGTTAAAGAAAAATTTGAATAGTAGAATAGAAAGGACTTTAATTATCCAGGATTTTCTCTGATGAAGTAGACTTAACCTTAGGGTGTTCTCCAAAAGCAGAGTTATCATGAGTGTATATATAAAGTGAGCTCCATGAGAACTCTATTTCCTTCTCTACTGAATCCCAAGAAGATAGAATAGTGCCCAAAATATATTTGAATAAAGGAGATAACTCCAGGGGAAAAATTGAATTTAACCCCAAATTAGTTAAATATTTATACCTAAGATTCTTTAGAGTTCAAAATGGGACTTACTCCAGCTGTAGCTTCCTTGGGTCACCTAGAGTATGAATTTATCTCCATGTTCCCAGAACTTGGCCTGGATCTTGGTGCATGGTAAACGGTCAGTAAAACTTGCTTGCTTTTTTTTTTTCATTCTGGGGACCAAACCTAGGGTCTTGTACATGTCAGGCAAGTGCTATACCACTACCTCCAACCTTTGAATTTCTTTACTTGGTGCAGGTTTGGCCTGCCTTTCACACATGGGATGATCTACTGAGGGTAGGCATTCCAGGCTGTTGAGTGGGGTTTGGCACTTCTCTGGCTAGCTTTGCTGCTAGTGCAGGGAAAGCTCTTTTCCTCCAGCCTAGATTTGTCTATGGAGGAACTTCTGCCAGATAATGTCCTGGCCTCTTGCACATCCTTTCCTCCTTTTCCAGAGGAGGAAGGAATTTCAATAAAATTCTGTGCTAATATGAATGTCAACAGCATGCAAACTGAGGCACTCCTGTTGGCCTCTATCCCCTGCCCACCCTGTTCTTAATGGAAACTGGCTAAGATTCCACTCTGATGGGGGAGGGGAGAAACAGGAGGTATTAGGGAGAAACCGAAGCCATTAGGAGCTACCTGTTTCAGTGTGCAGCCAACTGGGCACATTAACAAATGTCACCACCTTAAACTTTTGTGCTTTTTAGATAGTCCAAACTGAATGAAAATTAGTTTTCTTGTTAACTTTGCAATAACATAATCTTGCATTTTTAGTCGATTTAAAATTTTGGCCCTTGCTCATCTTATGGCAGGTGACCTCTACTGCCTCATCTTTCTCAAAGAAGAGCAAATCTATCCAAAAGCTGTAAGCTGTGAGGATCCCCCCACTTTTCCCTCACTTCTCAGGGCCAGTGTGAGGCAGGGGATATCCAGGGTCCACACTGGGATGGGACCAGATCAGCTCTGAAGACACAATCTGAACAGTAATAAAACTGACACTTCAGTTTCCATTCTGTTTTATGTCTGAGTTGGTACTGAATGTGGGAGGAGATGAAAACATTATTCTTCATTCTCCTCAAATCCTACAGTCACTTGACCCTTATCTCCATGAGGATCTGAGGCTTACATATTCTCAATGGACTAACATAGATTAGGGAATTTGCTTTCATGAATTAGTGAGCTCAGCCATCTACTCTTGTGTCTATGTTTAGTGCATATTTTAGTATGTTGTTGCAGTGTAGGGTCAGAATATAAAGCAACTGGAGACATTATTTATGGTGTAAGGGGTCCCTCCAGTTGGAGGTTAGCATTTTAATTGGAATCACTGGGCTAGTTGCCATGTGCAGGTCTCTCTGCCCAGCAGTTTGCATGTTCCAAGCAGCTGTAGGCTTGTTTTCAAGACAAGAAAGAATGTCTGCCCTCACTGAAGCATATTGCTTCATCTGCCTAAGTAAGCCCGTGTGGCTCATCTCAGCAGTTAGAGGATGTACAGGTGAGCACCCTATAAGCCCTGGAAGATGAATACTCTTGTATCTGATCCCCACATGGGTACCAAATAGTGTTTTGTTTTTTAAATCCCCTCAAGTTTATTATTTACAAACTTATTTTCGCAATACTTCTAGGAAATGCATAAATAAAGTATAAAAAAGAACGAAGTTATGTATTTAATATATCAAATATATGACCTTTATTGATGAAGATGATCTGGTTTGTTGTTTTAGTCAGTTTTTTTCACTGCTGTGACTAAAAGATCCAACCAGAACAATTGTAAAAGAGAAAAGTTATTTGAGGGCACATAGTTTTGGAGGTCTCAATCACAGACAGCAGACTCGATTCTTTGGGGCTCAAGGTGCAGCTGAACATTTTGGTGAAAGAGCGTGGCAGAGGGAAGGAAGCAGCTCACAAGGTGATCAGAGAGAGATTCCACTTGCCAGATACAAATATATAACCCAAGCTGTGCCCCCCGTAAACCACTTCGTCCAACCACATACTTCTTCTGCCTCCAGTTACTACTCAGTTAATCCCTGATGGGATTAATTTGCTAATTAGGTTAAGGCTATAACCTAATAATTTCTTCTCCAAACCTTGCATTGTCTCACAGATGAGCTTTTGGGGGATACCACATCTAAACCATAACATTTTTGTAAAACAAATTTTAAAGAAATTTAACTCTATATCCTTCAGCAACTAATCCCTCTTTTCTTTCTTTGTCTTTATAGCAAAACTGCTCAAAAGATTTGTCTGTATTTGTTTTCATTTCCTCTCCTCCATTCTCTTCTGAACCCGACAATGGTGGACAGCCTCTGATGGCTGACAACAGTCCCCACATCCTGCTATTTATGTTCTCATATAATTTCCTCCCCTGGAGTGTTAGTCAACTTTTTGTCTCTGTGACCAAAATAACCGATGAGAGCCTTAGAGAAGGAAAAGTTTGTTGTGACTCCTGGTTCCAGAGGTTTAGTCCCTGGTCAGCTGACTCCATAGCTCTGGGCCTGAGATAAGGTGGAAGGACATGGGGAGGAAAGCAATTAGCTCATGTTACCAGGAAATAGAGGGAGCATGAGCAGCCAGGGGCAAGATATATATTTCCCAAGGGCACACCCCCTGTGACTGCTTCCTCCAGCCATGCTCCACCTGGAGGAAATAATCCATCGGATTATCAATCCATCAGATGGGTCACTCCACTACTGAAGTCATAGTTCTCATGATCATTTCACCTCCGTAAACCACTTCCTCCAACCACATACCTCCTCTGCCTCCAGTTACTACTCAGTTGTTCCCATCAGGGATTAATTCGCTAATTAGGTTAAGGCTATAACCCAATAATTTCTTCTCCAAACCTTGCATTATTTAACATGAGGTTTTTGGTGAACACCTTATATCCAAACTATAACCCTTGAAAATGTGGGCTGGGCAGCAGAAGGGTTGAGATGACATATGAAAAGAAGCTAAGTATCATATATCATTAGAGAAATGAAAATTAAAATA